TTCTGATCGCAGGTTCATGGTAGTCAATTACTGAGTGAATATCTCCATCTTACAACCTCAAGCAGTGTTTGCAGTATTAATAAGTTTCAAATATGCCACCTTAGTGTGAGAGGTTAAGCTTTATTCCATAATAATATAAAGGCATAATATAAAGAAGACTTTATTACATGTGGGGGCTTGTCAGTCTCACATGTGCTTATCAGCTGCCTGGCTTTACCATTTGTCTCTGTTTTTCATCACCTTGTCATAAACTGCTTCTTCACAGAGAGGATGAATCATGTGGTGAAACATGTTTTTCTCTGACAGTGTTGGTGGTGAGAATTTCAACATTTTTCAGCACATATGATAATCTTGAAGTAATAGTATGTTTCATCTGTCACTCTGATGATATTATGAGTCAAGCAACAGAGAGGCCTCAGAGGTTTTCTCTTTGTGAAGCAACCATTTTTACTGCATATAAATGACCACCGTCTGATTTAGTGAATCAAACCTCAAAATATACAGTACCTTACTATAATAGTGTGCAAATGTGGCCCCTTGGTATGGTTTGTATTTTGATGCAAAGTGTTTGCGTGCCACATAGATAATAAAGGTTTTGATGTGCAAAGAATCTCCAAAATAAAATCACACAAGCACAAACCAGATCATTGTACATGCTCCGTAAATTTCGCTGTTATTCCCTTCACTTCAAAAACATCAGCTTCTTCTTAGTGTTTAGACACCAGGAAGCTGTTCTGTTATTGCAACAGTGACACAAAGGCATGTTATGAGCCTCAGAGGATGCAAAACTGGAGAAACCAGATCTGCTCAGGGTCAGATTCAATAGGTGATACGATTTTAAAGTATATATCATGGTGTGAATGTGTAAAGGTTTATCAGCAGCAGAGCTAGAAAGTGCATTAACTCAAGTACTGTACTTAAGTACAATTTTGAGGTATCTATTTAACTGAGTATTTTCATTTTCTGCTACTTCATATTTTGACTTCATTACATTTTACAGAAAAATAGTGTACTTTGTACTCACTGAATTTATTTGATAACTTTAGTTACTAGTTACTTTGATGAATGAGGTTAATAAAACAAAATACAGTATACTCATAATTGTAATTGAATAATATGATGTACATCAGTGTAAACTGTGCTGTTTTGCATAATGAGTACTTTCACTTTTGGTACTTTAACATTATTAAGTGCTAATACCTTTGTACCTTTACTTAAGTAACGTTTTGAATGCAAGATTCTTACTTGTAACAGAGTATTTTTACACAGTGGTATTGATCCGTGTCCTCAATGTAAGCCAGGTCTAAGTAAACAATCAGAGTAGTTCTTCCACCACTGGTTAGCAGCATGTATCCGGCCAGTGGTGCTGTTTTCTCAGGGTCTAACCGTGATGAGAAAAGGCTGTATGTTGAAAGAATTGTGCTGCTTGATTTACTTTTTATCTGCATAAAATCCTACATGTAAAAATGTTGTTGTTGTACATATAAAGTGTTTTAGCTATTAGGTCATAAGTGAGTGTATGAAATGTACAGTAGGCCTTTTAAGGAATGCTAGTACATGGCATGTGAAAAGGGAGGCTGAGATTATAATGCTACAATTCATGACATTGTGTCCAATAGCCCATATTCTGGGATGTGTTGCTTATATGTAGCCCATAAATTATTATCCCTACACATATACTTAAAAATCTGTTTATTCCAAATGTTAACATAGAAGGTAAGCTAATGTTAACATGTTAGCATAACAGTTATTACTTATGTATTACTTATGTACTTATAATACTTGTTCAGGTTATTAATAGAAAATACAAAATTTTACCTGATGTTCTAGAAACACTTGAGCAAACATAGTGTTTGCTTGTTTGTATGACAGCTCTGCAGCTTTTCATGTAACAGGTTCAAACACAACAGGAACTACTTTTAAATCTTGAAATGTGCTTTGTCCCTTTAGGTTTAGTGACACACGATACATTCAGTTCTCTCTTCTCCCTTTTGATCCTCTTTGCTGCAAGACAGTAAAATATAAGTTATGCAGGCAACATTACATTTTCAAGGTTTGATTGAAGTATCTATGTACATTGGAAACTACACTCAGTCGAACTGTACATCTTCACAGAGTCACAGACGGGAGCAACGTTTGAGCTGCCCCTTCAGGAATTCCTTCATTCATAAGCTTAACCTTTTCCTCTGATCTCACTGCCAAACAGGTTATACCTGTCCAAAGTAAACTTGTGCCAGTTAAAACAACTTCATGTATGTGTTTTCATGGGAAATCACAGAAGGAACAAACTCCCCTCCCATTACGTACTGAAATCAATACAAAACTAAAGAGAAAAGACACGAAGTGCACAGTATAACATAAGTTGTGCATGTGTGCAAGGATCAAGGGTGTAAATAATACAGAGAGAGAGAGAGAGTCCCAGAGAAATGAGCAGAGAAGCTATATTTTTAGGCTTCCACAAAAAAAAGTTACATTTGCTAAATCTTACCCCAAGTGATGTGTGGCAAGAATAATTTCACATTTGTTAAACTCAGACTTATCATTTATGTCCTGTCATTTGAAATAGTTCACCACAGTGTGCCCAAATCTGTCAGATGCTCAGTGACCTTTCCACACAGTCCAGCTGTCTCAAACCGGATGCTCTTCAACAAGAATGGCATCGTTCAAAATGATACCGTTTAGGACAATACAAAGATTATATGTCAGATGGACACACAGCCATGTCTGCAGACTGCAGTCTTTAGAACAGGAGTGCCCACCAGCACAGATCCTGGATCAACCTGCTGGACCATTTAGAAATAAAAAAGGCTTACAAGGGCACTGAAAATCTACATAAACCATAAAAGCCATGCCACAATTACAACCTTTTAGGGTTATTCTCTCTTAAAGGGACATGCGCAGAGTATACAAACAGAGGAGGCAAAAAGACTTCTGAAAAAGCAGCAGGCTAGGGAGAGTTATTTTCAAATTTTCACCCACTATTGATTCTTGATGTATAATTTTAAACTCTAATAACATAATGCACTGAAACACTCCAGTTTCAAAGGTAATCTAGCAATTATTATTTGCAATGTGACCCATTCATTTTCATTTAGATGAAATATTTCATGTCATATCAGTTAATAAAGTGTGTGAAAAAGATAATTAAAACAGATCCCCCCGTTTTTTTTTTACAGCTTGTGATTTCACATTGTTTTTAAAGTGAAACCAGACTGAATTAAGTTGTTGTAACAGTCAGATCCCTGTCCCTGTCAACTTTACAATAATCCATTGTTCCCAACCTTGTGAAGCAGTGAGTGTGGCAGACCAGTCACATGCATACAATGGGAAATATTAGGCTAGACACATGAGTACTAACCTTTGGCTCTCTGGCTGTTGTACTAAACATCATACAGAATAACAGACAGCTGCATTTTAGCACAGAGCAGGGTTTTTTCTCCCACTTTGGAACAATTTGACATCTTTCATCCTTTCTTTGTTTCTGTGGATGGCAGAGACCTGTCACTCCAGCCTTTAGCCTCCACCTCTGTAGAAATTATTAGTCTGTGAACAATCGGCAGTGAGCAATACTGTATATAACCTGTTGTTTTTCCATAATTGAGAGGTTTTCTTTTTTTCATACATGATAGAATGTACTGCGCATTAATGGATATGCGCACATATTGGAAGCATAATGTTGCTGAGGACATGCAAGTTGTTGAGTATACAGCAGAGCAAAAAGCAATGTTTCCCAGTGTCACTGTCTTCTTTATCTTCTTGAAATGTCACCTGTCACTCAAATGTGCATCTTCAAGCGCGCGATTCTTTCTTGGAGTGTGGCTTATTTCCCAGCAGGGCATCCATCTCAGTAATGGTTTGAGGGGTAATTTGAGATAAAATCTGCAAGTAAGAGGGAAATCAGTGAAAATGTGATCTGTTGTATTGTCCCACTTATGCAACTTTATATTGTACACAATGTAGCATATCTGTGAGTCAGGCAAAATTACTGATGTGGGAGGAAAAAAGGGGGGAAAAATCTACCCGGAGGGCACCCAGATTCTCAAGTAGCTGGTCTGTGTTAGAAACTCCCAGAAGTACTGAGCTCACTCCCTCACTGCGCAGACACCAGGCTGTAAAAGGAGAGACAAAACCAATAAAATTCATGCTCAATTAAAAGCAAATATATCAGTGCTAGCCAAAGACTGTTCTAAAATAATGTTTAGTTTTTTGCACAGTCAGATTACATGTCACTTCTCTATTGACCAAATTTGAACATCTATCTACCAAATGTATTTGAGCAGGAATTCTGATCCAAGATCAACTGACAAATGCACACAGAAGATCAGGTGATATCAGAACAGTGGTCCTAAATCAGTACCTTTTACAGTTGAACAGAAGACTACACTTTCTAAACACCATTGTTTAAACATAAATATGGGGAAAAGTCCTGTAATTAACTAATAAGGTCACTGATCAAGAGCAAAATGGTTGAACACAGGCAGATTGACACATGGAAAACATTTGTTTGAAGCACTCTGTGCAATATATAAAAGCTTTTATCTTCTGTGTGAAATCAATGAAAAAACATTTTGAATCTGTAGTTTGTGACTCTGGCAACACAAACACATTCAAGATCTGAAAAATGCCAATCTAAAGCAGTCCAATCCTGACCTCCAGTCACATAGCAATATAACAGACAAAGAGCGAGTCCCCTGTATATAATGTATACACTTACACACTGCATAGTCATGTCATTTGCCTGGTTCATACCTATGGCTAACTGTGCAGCAGTGCAGCCCAGTCTGTCAGCCAGTAGATGGAGCTCCTTGATTTTAGCCAGCTGCCTGCGGCCCTCCTCGCTGTTCACTCTCTCCTTCAGCCACTGGTATCCCTTCACCAGGAGCAAAATGAAAAGCACTGATAAGGCAACATGCTTCTCTACTGATTTCACACTACGATACCTTGCCGATCAGGGAGACAATTACACTGGGCTACTTTTCAGGAAGAGAGAAATCCCAGAGGAGAGGAGCAGTCCGATCAAGCTGACCTTCATTGCTGCTCTGGAGCACTCTGGTACACCGTCACTGTACTTCCCAGTGATTAATCCACAAGCAAGTGGAGACCAGGTCATTGCACCAACACCTGGAAGAGAGGAGTAAGGGTAGACATTCAAATGATACAAAATAAGCCTTCAATTAAAACAGAAAGATAAATAAAGCTGTGGACTATGGATGTCTGACCAATCTTATGGTAGAGCTCAGGAAGCTGCACCTCAACTTTATCCCTTTGGAAATAGTGATACTCTGCCTGCTCACACACAGGTGGAATCAGGTTGAACTGGCGTGCCACAGAGTACGCCTCCTGGTGTCAGACAGAGAGTGATCAGAACTGAAGCCATAAGCTGACCATATAAATTTTTGTCAAGTATGGGAGATGAGCATTTACCATGATTTCCATAGCACTCCAGCGCGAGGTTCCCCAGTACATGGCCATACCTTGATTTATTACAAACGTCATGGCTCGTACAATCTCTGCAAATTGGAGTATTTAACATCATAATTTAAAAATTAAACTTTTGATGATTTTAAGACAGTTAATTGCAGCTGTTTCCACACATTAAACACATACTACTACAGCTACTATATGATCTCTGCACATTGGGAAACAAGAATAATCATTTCACTGACCTTCCATTGGACTGTTGACATCATTTCTGTTGGCAAAAACAATGTCCACATAATCTAGCTGGAGTCTTGATAATGATCCTCTTAAACCTGTCATAAGAAATAATCAGATCTTATCCAAAGTACTCCGCCTTTTGTTCTGCTTTGTACCGTGTATACATCTTAATTTATACACTGTTAACATGCTCATAAGCACTAAACCCAAAGCTGACGGTAAAGGGAATGCCATTAGTGTTGCAGATATTTAGTCATAAATCAGAGTCAGTGATTCATCATACAAGGACCATGAATGTCTCTATAAAATTTCATTGGAATCTGTCCAATAGCACTGTAAAAACAGTAACTTATATTAAATTATCAGTAATTCAAGAAAAAAAAATCTAACTGTGCCAACAAATCAAACTCATCTGCTACTTCAACAAAAGTAAGTGATTCCTGATAAACTTGAATCTTATTCTGTGATTCATCACAAACTGAGAAATGCTCTGTTAACTTGCCTTCTGTAGCTGGAGAATGCAGGAAATATACCTGGAGAAACTTAAAATCATGAGTTCAGCTGACTAAATGTACAATGAATTGCTTAGTTAACTCATTTATTTAAATTACTTCAACACATTTCCCAGCATGCATTTCATTTAAAATTCTCCAGGTTGTCGTTTTTTTGTCATATAAAAAATTGCATGATGGAAGTCATTCAGTTTCTCTTTATACATTGTCTCAGAGGAGCCAGAAGGTTTTCTTTCTGCTCAAAATGAAAACACCAAAAACCATGCTGAAGAAAGGTCTTTGTGTCAGACACATCCTGCACTGTTTGAATTCAAAGAGCTTAACGCTTCTTGAGAATTGACCCAGGGCTTATCTTAAGAAAAGATTCCATGATAGACAACACATGACATTGTTCCTGACTGTACTACTAAATAAAGAAAACTTAGTTACAAACCAAAAGTTTTGAATGGACACAGCTCATGGATTGGAGTTACTTTAACTTGACAGAATCAAAAATTCTAAGTTGTGAAGATGTAAAATAAGATGCTACTCTAACTTGAAGTACGTTAAAAATTGTAAGTTGGATGAACTCAAAACCTGAAATTAAAAAAAAGTATGTTTAATTGTCTCACTCAAAAATTTACCAACAATTGTTGCCTTGAAATTTTGAGTTTTCTTAGCTTTTTCCTTTCTTACACTGAGGTGTTGAGATACTTCAGTGTTGACGAGAGTGACAGACCAACCAACCAACATTGCCATCCATGGAGCCATGTTGCTAGATGTTGATACCCAAGCAGTCATGAGCAATACTCCATACAATATGCTATTGGAGGGTAAAACAACCTTTTTATGTATTATATAGTTTTTGAAGTTTTAATGCTGCATTTTCCATTTCTAAATATTTTCTGTCAGTGTCTGCTGTGTGTGAACATTTCAACCTTGGGTTTGTCCACGCTTTGATAGAGGTTAACGTCATGAATGTGACATGTGAAATACTGTATTTAGTCCAAATACAAGCACAGCCTTAATATGCTGTACTAACCTTGAGAGCTGCACATAGTTCACTCATAATCCAGTGGCCTCAAATTAAAAGATTTGATCTTTAATCAATTTTAAACATACCTGTATGTTCAACAAATTGAAGTTCAGTAACAATACACAACTCTGAATGGACCACTTTCTGATTAAATATGAGCTATAGGATTACTGAAAGATGTACTGGAGAACTGACTCAAATTTCAGGGCCTGAACTTAACACTGAACCTTATTTGCTTGATTCTTTCTGAAACAAATCCAGGTACATTACCTTCAATGATGTGCTTTCTAGAGAGTCCTCTTTCCGTCTCTGCTCTGTGAGGTGATGAAAATACACATTATTGATGTTCTGTTGAAATGACGAAGACAAAAAAAAAACGATTTTGAATGAAAACAAGCACAGTGAAGTGTATAATTTCTGTGTTATACTTACTGGCCTCCCCAGTAGATTTTTGTTGTGATGACAAAACTTGAACGCCTGGCAAGGACAAAGGACAGTTTATTTTAATAGGACAATGGAATTTAGGTGAGAACATGTCTCCTCTATCTTCTAATACTATGTTGTACAGTAATATGTTTTTTCTTTCTCTGTGCCTACTAACATTGGTATGATACATTAAAAACTGTATATTTGGACTTGCATTGTGTTTCTTTAAATATCCAGTACTGTATGACTCTGACATAATGAGTGGTAGTGACAAACTACACACGCTTAATTTAAAGTCTGACATTTATTTATTGATATATTTTTCTCCAAATTAAAAATATCTTGAGGATTTCCCACACAAATAAGTTGGCAGTTGCTCAAGACAACCAACGAGTATTATGATCTGGGAGCTTGTTTTCACATGGTAACATTTTTATCCCTTTTTTATAGTCTTTCTGAGGTTGAAGCTCATTTTGCTAAAACATATTAATTTCCTTTGAGATAATTTAATGGTGCGACTGTTCCAAAAGAAATAAAGACATGAAATGTGGTACATTTCAGCAAAGCAGGGAATTGTTAGGATTATTAAACTTTCAAAACTAAATTCACATGATGTAATAGAATTAAAAATCTTGAGTGATCTCACCTCCATCCTTTCTTCTTGATAATGTTCCCCAGAGTGATTTCCGCTCTGCAGAGAAGCACATCACTGACTGTCACATTACTGAACAACAATAATGAATCATACAGAAAATCTGCAACATGTCATATATTAAAGGTGCATGAACTAAGATTTTACATATTGTCTGATAAATCAAGTGAAAATGGGACAGGGCGTGGCATCTAGCTCTCAAGTATACGGCCTCCTCAATGACACTACAGCCCTTCTTGTTATGGTTAGTCTCCCTCACCTGGAGGGTGAGG